GGGTGGAGGGTGGGGGGGAGGGCTTGGGAGAGGGAGAGAGAGAGAATCCCAAGCAGGCTCCACGCCCAGTGAGGAGCCCAACGCAGGGCTCCATCTCATCACCGTGAGATCATGACCTGAGCCAAAATCTAGAGTGGGTTGCTTAACCGACTGAGCCGCCCAGGCGCCCCTAAATCTCCTTTTTCTAGAAGGCGGGAGCTCAGGCATGAGATGCAACAGCCAGAGCCAGGCTTCCGTGTACACCGGAAGAGGGCTCATGTACACCTCCCAAGGAGCGGAGGCTATTCGTGCCCAGGATCCGCAAGCTAGCAGCTTCATGCCAGGCAGCAGGATAGGACGGGGGTAGTTTTGGGGTTAGGCTGCAGGAGAGCCGACTCCCAGTCCTGCCACTCACTCAGCTGCGTGACCTTGGGCAAGTGACCTTGTTTCTGGAATCCTCCTATAGAAAGGGAATCACAACAGTGCCTACCCATAGGGACGTTGCATGAGTTAAATAGATGATGTATGTGAGACACCCAGCACATAATAATGCCTCCAATTTGTTAGCTATTATTGACTATTATCTGCTTTATAAAAGAGACGTATGCATGTTTATTGTGGAAATTTTGGAAAATAGAAACAGATAAAATCACTGAGAAACAATCCCAGCCAGAGAGGTCCATGGCTGACATATTGACCTATTTCCCTCCGGTCATTTCCTCAGGCATATTATATCCTATATTTCCAATTTTGCAATCTTACTTAGATGGTTTTCAGTCCTGCTTTTCTTTAATTCTTGAAGACTATTAAATATTCCACAGGAATGTGAGGTACAGTTAGGAATGCAAGATTTAGCAAATAAAGATGCAGGATGCTTAGTTAAATTTGAATTTTTAGATAAAGAATGAATCATTTTTTAGCATAAGAATGGCCCAAATATTGCATGGGATGTTCTTATATTAAAATTTTCACTGGGCATGTCTTACCGCGTCTGACACCCCATTTATAAGCACAGCCACCCTGAGAAGAGGAGAGGGAGCTCTGTGGCCCCGAGTTGAGGGTTCTGGCAGGTTCTGCAGGGTCTCTCCTGTCCCCTTACCTGGGACACACTGCTCTTTCTCTGGAGGTCTTATGTCTGTCCTTTTTGTCTTCTTACAATTTGCCTCCCCTGGACTGAATCCCCGGGACTCTGGCCATGTGGATGGCCCTTCTTCTGATCTTCTGGACATTTTATGGTGTCCTTCTTTTTAATATCCCTTTGCTCATCTCGAAGAGGATCTGAAAAGAGGCCACTGAAAGGACTAGCTCAGAAGCCCATCCATCCACTGTGTGTTCTTCCCTAGCAGGTCTGAGGCTGGGTCCGGGGCCCTAAATTCCTGCCTTTGGCCAGTCAGCCCACTGAAGTTCTGGGCCACACACTGTCCTCACCTGTGCACAGCCCTCTCGCCACTAGCCTGGGAGGGGCACTGCCAGGCTCCGCGGCCATTCTGGAGCACCCAGCACACTTACGGGGCCATGCTTCTCAGAGCCTCCCAGCACACCTTACCCTACACGCAGGGGCCGGCCCCAGACACAATCCTCCTGCAGCAGAACCTCTCCAGATGGACCAGGAGCTGTAGAGGTTTCACTGCAACTGATCTAGAAGCCAGAGTAGAAGTAGCTGTGTCTCTCTCCCTGCCCTGGGCAGAACTGTTGTCTGTCCTGCCTACCTTGTCACCCAGCCCTGGGTTGGCCCAAACCTGGGGATGGTGGTGCAGCAGAGCCCTGGTCTAGGCACAGCCGAGGGACTGTGCCGCCAGCTTCCCTCAACAGCAGGAGAATGTGAGCCCTTCACCCTTTCTGAAAAAGGTAAGAGAAGCTGCTTCCATGATTTGGGGACATGAGATTCTGGCTTGGGTCTGCTCTTTCTTGAGGAAGGGTTCGTGCTGCAAATGCACACATAAACATACAGTCAGGTTACAGTTGGACAGACTTGCCCGCACATTTGGCAGATGTTTTCCTTTTGCTTTCTTTGTGTGAGCCTCCAGGGCCAGGCACTTCGGGGCTACAAGGACATCCAGGCCGGCTGACACGTGCCGTGGGTATGAGGTCCTCAGCTATTGGTTTCCTGGCCCTGCTTGGACCATTACGGAGGAGAACTCACGTCCTCTCCTGGTGGACCAAACATTAGTGGACAAACAGATGAGAAGCCGAAGTCCATAGAGTGACTGTTGGGGGAGGGGAGCAGTTATGGGCGGAGCTGATTGTTGCTTTTCTGCACTGGGAGTTCCTTCCAGTAATGCCCTCGTGCACCACTCACCCGGGATGCTTGCTAAAGATGCAGGTTCAGGGGCGCCTGGGTGGCTCAGTCAGTTAAGCGACTGCCTTTGGCTCAGGTCACGATCCCAGGGTCCTGGGATCGAGCCTCTCGTCGGGCTCCTTGCTCAGTGGGGAGTTTGCTTCTCCCTCTGCCCCTCCCCCGCTTGTTCTCATTCTTTCTTTCTCTCAAATAAATAAAGTCTTAAAAAAAAAAAAAGCAAGTTCGGAGCCACCCCCCACCCTTCAGGAAATCTGATTCAGTGGGTCCAAAGTATTAGGTACCCGCCTCTTTACTTGAGAAGGATGAGGGGATATTGTGAAGGTTGACCATAAACACGTGACCAAAGGGCAGAAAGATTTGAGAAATTCCGTGATGAAGGGGATCCAGAAGCTGGGCCTCCTGGACAAGTCACTCCACTCGTTAGGCCTCATCTGTCCACTGGCAGCGCTGGACTGGATGACTGGCATTCTATTGTTCTCCAGGCCCGGGGCCCTGAGGTCTGGGAAGCTTCTGGAAGGATGGGGCATTCCAGGGCTGTTCCCCGGGGTCACAGGCACTAGGAAGCTGTCTGGCTCTAAGGCTCCCCAGAGAGTCACAGGACGTCTCCTGAAATGGACCACCCACGAAGGGGTGTTTGGACAGTCAGGGCAAAGCGGAGCGGTGGCATTCACCTGGTGGAGGCCGTGGATGCTAAATGTCCTGCAGAGCACAGGACAGGCGCAGAGAGGAAGGAACTGCCTGCCCCCAGGCTGGAGAAGCAGGTCAGACGCGGCCCATGTGGTAGCCGCAGGCTCCGTCCGGAGGCCGTTCTAATTCTGGAAGTGCAGCTGAAGGGCCCACTCCGATCTCAGCACTGAGTGACCACTCACGCCACCAGACACACTGCATTGCTGACCATGGCTTCCAACAGCATGAACTCTGAGAGGGGCATTTATGGTGAAGGTGCGGTTGTCTCTCCACGTGCATTCCTCTCTCTTCACTGAAGGGCAGCAGTGCTCTTTGGGGTGGGGACTGACTTCCTCTGGGGGATTGGGCCTGACTGGTCCCCACATAATATTATCTCAGTGATGTCAGTCATTGGCTCAGTCATCTGGCCAATTCTGGCCAATGAGAGGGCAGGAGAGGTATGGCAGAAATTTCTGGAAAAGTTCTTCCATGACCCTTAAAAATGAGCCCCAGGAATCTTTCTCTCTCTAGCCCGATGTAGAGGAGGAGGGATGACAGCTCGGTTGCTCCCAGCTGCCATTCCCCAGTCACACGGGATAGGGAAGGGAGGGAGGGGAGACAAGGTGAGAAGCCAGCTTTACGATGAGGCAGAGCAGGGAGAGGGGAAGAACCAAGTCCATGGTGATGTCACTGAGACTAGCGGGAAGCCCTCCTGAACTTGGGACCGCCCTTGGCTGTGAGAAGTACATTTCTGCATAGTTTAATGAGCAAGTAACTTGCAGTCAAAATAATCCCAGCATTCTAAGCCTTCTCTTTGGTAATCCCCATGGAAAGGTCCGGAAGCCGGAGAAAAAGAAATGCCAATCTGTGGTTGTAGAGCTTCCGTCGGATGAATCAGAAACCCACCATGGGAGTCAGAATCTGTTACCTCAAATGTGGTAAATGACCCCAAGTGGATCCCTGGTGCCTCCAGGCCAAAGGTGACAGAGTCTTTCCTGCACCCCCCTCCACCTGACCCAGAGAGGGTCTGCTCACCTCCTCTGGGGTGGAGACGAGCGAGCAGCTGGCTCCTTGGCTGTCAACCCCGCTGTCCTTCAGGCTGCCGTCGGCACAGGCCGGCTCCTGGCAGGCACCAGCAAGGCCCTGGAGGCCGCTGGGCCTCTGTGCCCAGGCCTGCAGGAGACTGGTCTTCCTCTCCTCAGAGAGGTTCTGCCATAGGTGGGAGATGGCGGCAGAGACGATGGGGAGCGTCACCTCCTGTGAGGAGACAATCCCGTTCCCAATCAGAAGGTCCATCGTCTGCTTGTAAAAGTTGAGATACCTGGAACAGAAAGAGCGTCATCTCCCAGACCTGAAGCCAGTGGCCGAAGGCCCCTCCCCAAGCCATCTCCTCAGGATTCCGTTGGCGGGGTGTGGCCCACAGCGCCTGAGCCTTGCCACAGCTCTGCGGTTCACCAGGGGCTTCGCCTTCCTAGTCTGCACGCCCCTGACACTTGGAGAGCAGTGGTGTCATGGGTGACATAGATCTAGTGTCCGGGTCCTTCCCCAGAGTCCCCATGGAGCTCTCTGCCTGACAGAAGAGAGAACTAGGAGTGTGGCCTGCTCAGCTCTCAGCCCATGGGAAAACTGCTTAAAATTCCAAGCCCTGTGAATGGGCAGACATGATATGATGCTTGTTTTAATTTGGGGCCTGAAATTCAAGCTCAGCTGTGGAACGAGCCCCCTTCTACTGGGCCAATACCTCCAGAGGCCAATGTGGCCGCCATGGGTCTTGAGTCTGTGGAGGGACCGTGAGTGGCAGTGGGAGTCTGAACCAGTCACTCACTGTGTTTCTTACTATGAGACCAGTAATACGGTAGGGAGTGTGTGTGTGTGTGTGTGTGTGTGTGTGTGTGTGTATGGGGGTGTTTGGTCCTCGTAATCCCCATCGACAGCCCCCACAAAGTCAACTCCAAAAAAATACCTGCTCTAAGGAAGCCCAGTGTATGTGCTGTGCAATGTAGCTTCGAGATTATTTCTCTAGCCCCTCTGCCAACCCCATCCCAAACCCCGCCAATATGGAAATTCTGGAGCTTCCTTGATTCGGGGCCTGGTCTGAGAGTGCACTGAGGATGCCGCATGTCACAGAGCCTCTGTCCCCTTCCCCACAGGCTATGCATAAAGCCACCCCTCGCAGCTATTCACACCGTTCAAATTCCATGAGGTCTGGCAACAAGGTGACTGGGGAGTGTAAGAGCTCCACTTTTTTCTCTTCCTCCTCCTCCTCTTCCTCCTCTTCCTCCTCTTCTTGGTCTTCCTCCTCTTCTTCCTCCTCTTCCTCCCCCTCAGCATCCTTCTCGACTGCCTCGATTGGGCACCAGGTGGCAGAGATTTTCTGAAGAACCTTATCTGAGACCAGGCTAGTAAGAAAACAGAAACAAGACAACCACAAACTTGAACTCTTGAATCCTCATGAACGTTGACACTGAGATTCTGAAGGCAATGTTAGTGTTGGGGCATGTGTGTGTGTGTGTGTGTGTGTGTGTAGACACACACATATCACAACCAAGTGGAGTTTATTCTAGGAATGCAAGATGGCTGGTTCAAACTTTGAACATCAATCAGTGGAACTCAACATAGCAACAGACTAAAGAAGAAAAACCATACGATCACCTCAACAGACACAGAAAAGCACTTGGCAAAATGCAATATCCATTCCTGACAAAAACTCTCAGCAAACTAGGAATAGGAGGAAACCTCCTCAACCTGATAAAGGGCATCTACAAAAAACCTACAGCTAACATCATACCTGACAGTAAAAGACTGGATGTCTCTCTGCCTAGGTCAGGATCAAGACAAGGATGTTCACTCTTACCACTTCTATCCAAAATCGTACTTGAGATCCTAGCCAGTCCAATAAGGTGAACAAAAGAAATAAAAGATAAACAGATTGGAAAGGAAGAAGTCACACACAAATATGGGACTAGAATTAAGAAGGGTGTTTAGCAAGGTTGCCGGATACAAGGTCAATAAAGGAGAACCGATAGTATTTCCATGTATTAGTGATGAACAACAGGAAATTGAAATTTTAAAATGTACCACTTACAATAGTACCCCAAAACATGAAATACTTAGGTTTAAACCAAAAGCTCAGTCTGAAAAAGAAAAAGTGGATAAGTTAGACTTCCGTCAAAGTTTTTAAATTCTCTTCAAAAGGCAGTTTTAACAGTAGAACAGGGGCGCATCGGTGGTGCAGTCGGTTAAGTGCCTGACTCTTGATTTTGGCTCAGGTCGTGATCTCAGGGTTGTGAGTTCGAGCCCCGTGTCACTCCATGCGCAGAGTCTGTTTCAGATTCTCTCTCTCTCTCTTCCTCTGTCCCTCCCGCACATGCTCTCTCTCTCTGTCTCAAATAAATAAATAAATCTTAAAAAAAAAGAGGGAGTGGAACAACATGACACAATTTGGAAAACCAGGATTTGTACCCAGAATCTCTTCATCCTGATTGGAATGATCCCCAAGGAGATACCATGTTGAGTTAAAATACAAGTGCACCAGAAGAAAACATAGGAGAGGAGAATTCTTTTTTTTAATTTTTTTTTTTAATTTCAGAGCAGAGGAAGCCTTTCTGAGTATTCTCCCAAACCTAAGTCGTGAGGCCAGATCGGCAGATTAGACTTCATTTTTTGCATGGCCAAAACAACAATAACAACAAAAACAAAAAGATCAAAAGCAAAATAATAAAACAAATGACCAAGGGGTAATTATTTGCAAGTCATGTTCTAAAAGAGAGCTAATTTCTCGGTATACGTAGAGGGCTTCTATAACTCTGTAAGAAAAAGACCACGAACCCAATAGGAAAATGGGCAAAAAAATAGTCACAAGAAGTTCCCAGGAAGGGAAATACAAATGCTCTTGAACAACGGCACGCCATTTCGCTCATAATTTAATTACTTAACATATAATTATAAAATATAATCTGTTCCTGAGCTGGTGCCACACTTTTTAATTGCTGCGGGTTTAAAATAGTGCTAGTGAAAAATCCTAATTATTATGATTTTAAAAGAAATTTAGCCATTCTCATGTGGGCACACGATAGAAGTAGTGATAGGATTTTAGTATGGGATGAAGCGTGTTATCTTAAATTGGTAAGGAAAGGATGGCTTATGCGATGACTGGGGTTGGGATGAGCGGCTAATCGCTTAGGGATGAGACCGTCCCTCCTTGCTGATTGCGAGGTGGTGCTTGGGGTCTTACCTGGGATTTCCGGAGTACTTGCTAGCATATTCTGCCTTGACCTCCTCTAAGCTGTTTGCATTCCCATCCTCCAGGTTGAAGGACTCTGTTGGGGAGGCGAAGGCAAGGGTCACAAAGGGGGAAGTCCAGCCTTTGTCAAGTCTCTCCTGCCCTTCCAATCCAGGCAGACCCTGAGTGGTCCCTGAGCCCGCCCAGATTCGGTGTTACGGACTCAAGGGTCCAGTTTCCCCTCTCCTTCTAGATGTGACGAGCTTCTTGTCCCGGCCCTTTTCAATCAAGACACCAAAATACCCCTTGCAGAGTTCAGTTTCCACCAGCTTATGAAACCCACATTCCCAGGCAGCCACCGCTCCCAACCTGAGTGCCAAGAAAGGGAGCCAAGCTTTGCCTTTGCTTCTGAGTATGACAAGCACCGGTCTGCGTCCTCTCTGGTCTCTCAAGATGGGATCAGGTACCTGATGACGTCTGTCTGTCCTGCCAGGCTGTAAGCTCGCCGAGTGCAGGGGCATGAATCTCCTTGTACCCCTGGCCCAAGCACAGTGCCCGGCACACGGTAGGCATGCAATACGTATTTGTTCACTTGGCTTAGCCCAGTCTCTCTGTTTTCGATGGAAAAACCAACCAGTCTTTCCGTGGGAAGGAGATGTGGGTGGTGGATGGGGGGGGGTCTAACCTTTCAGCTTCAGCAGATTATCCAAGGTTTGTTCCAGCTCCTGAATGTGGTTCTTCGCCTTATTCAAAACCTGCCACTGAGGACAGAGACAGACAATGCTGAAAAGCCCGCCTTCTACCGCACACACTGTGGTTTTGTGGACACAGGTGTCCATTCCCCGGTCTGAAGCCATGCTCCCCTCAGAGGCAAAGACACTCCTTGACATTGTCAACAAAAAGGGGTGGGGGAGGGATGGAGTTTGTTCTGATGCGCAGAAGGCATGAAGTTTAATTTGTACTCTGGAAATGGTTCTCGCAGAAACACTCAACTATTTAGAAACAAGCCGTGTTCAGCAAACTACTGAAAGGGCAAACCAAGTATATATGCTCCTTGAAGGTGGAATGAACAGTGAGTGAAGAGCAGCCCCAGGCTGGCACCAAGATCCAGGGCTAACTTCTGCTCGGTTGTCAGAGTGAGCAACTGGCTGGCTAATACCAGTGTGCTGTGCTAACGGTAGTTTTTATTTGCTAAATGCAGACACTCTGGTTGATCCAAAAGCTGCTCAAATGCTCTGTCCACATGAACTCTGAATGTCCTGTTGCTGCAGGACTAAATCGCAAGCTTTTCTCCCTCCCTCCCTCCCTCTCCCGTATGTAATGTTCCTAAAGTCAAATGGTAACTGCGTGATTATTCCAACACAGGAAATGCTAACTGTTGTTTATCATGCTGACCACCCATACCTGTCCGGAGTTACATACGTTCATCAGGCACGTATTAACAGGCAAAGCTGTGTGTGAAGCCCCGGGGACACGGAGTAAATAAGACAGCCGGGCTTTCCAGCAGGAAAGACAAGACGAGCAGGGAAACCCCTACTCATAACACAAGCTAGAACTCAGTAAGCACTGAAGGGAGTAGAAGTGAAGGGCAGTGGAAACACATGGGAGGAGGGGCTGATTCAGCTGGAAGCGTCAGGAAGACTCAGAGCAGGGCAGCCGAGCGAGCGGGCCACGCTGAGCACTGTCTCAAAGGCGGAACTTGGGGCAGGGGCAGGGGCAGAGAGGGGGGGTTGGGGGCCGCCCCAGGGAACTGTCGAAGCCAGGTGTGGCCAGAGCCCAGGGTGGGCAGAGGTAGACGATGTCAAAGCGGCAGCCAAGGGTGGACAGCCCCGGCGCCATTCCAACATCCCACCGACTCTGGTGCACGCCAAGGAGGCTTGAGGGGAGCGAGAAGCACCACACTCTGCCGGCCCAAAAGACAGTGACCCGAGAATGCAGTGGACTGCAAGATCTCGAACACTCTTTGTAGAGTAGGGTCCGCCTGATGTCCCAGAAGATCTGCTGCCCCCAGGCCCGGGGCTCACGATTGTACTGTTGGGCTAGCAAGGACTCCTTTTCCTATTCGGACACCAGGGCCAACTGGTTTCCAGAACGTCAGGCTTGGTCTTAATTGGGATGAGGGGAGATCATCCTGGCCCTCTGGTCCAGAGTGAGCCGCTGTGTTGGCTCAGCAGGGACACCCCATGCTCACTTGCAGTCTTCGTGGGCCAACCTACAGAGCCATGGAAACCAGGTGCAATTTACTGAAATTCTGTTTCTGGAATGTTTTTGGCAGGCTCACGAGGACCTTAGTTCTGGGTTGAATTACATCTCCCTGAAAAAGATTATGTTGACGTTCTAACCCCCAGAACCTGTGAATGTGACCTTGTTTGGAAATAGGTCCTTCATAGAGGTCATCACGCTAAAATGAGGTCATTAGAGTGGGCCCTAATCCAGTATGACTGGTGTCCTTATTAAATGGGGACACTCGGATGCAGAGACAAACACGCACAGAGGGAGAATGAGGTGAAGACATAGGAAGAGGACAGCCATGTGACCAGAGGGAGGCATCTCTAAGCCAAGGAACACTGAGGAATTGCCAGCAAACGCCAGAAGCTGGATGGTGGCGGCAGGGGGCGGGGGGGGCTTCTCGCCTAGAGCCTTCAGAGGGAGCATGGCCCTGTGGACACCTTGATTTTGGACTTGGAGCCTCCAGACGTCCACCACAATAATTTTCTGTTGTATCAAGCCACCCAGTACCTGGTATCTTGTTATAACAGCCCTAGGAAACTGACAGAACCTGCTTACACCTTGACTCCTGTAGATCAGATCCTACCTTCACGGATATTACGAATGCAAAATTCAGGGTGGTCCCTCCAGCAGGACAGAGACAGGAGGAGAACAGAGAGAACTCCTTGACCACACACTGTTTCCCAGGCAAACGGTTTGACTTCCTGACCCCTCCGCTTCCTCATCCGTAAAATGGGGCGATCTGAATGGAACTGCAGGGGCTAAATGAGCGAACACGCTGGGAAGTGGTGGTAACACTTAAACCACTCTGACGCACCATATCTTTCCACGCAGCCACCTTGTGAGACGCCACCACAGGCCCCTGAGGACACCATTACTATCGTCCCTGTTGAACAGAGTGGTGACTGAAGCCTGGCCAGGAAAGTGTCCCCCGTGGGCAGAGGTCAGTCCTCCAGGCTCTCAGCCGCCACGTCGTGAGGTACAAACTATAGGGGGTGCAAGTGAGTTTTCCCCTACTTTTACTTCCATTCCTTCCTTTGGGGCCCTGAACACATGGTCTTCCTCGGGTTACCCCCCTCCCCAGTCTGCGTGCACTTCTTCACTGGCCAGTGACACGGACTTTGGGGTTTTCCCACGTGCCCCTGGGAACAGGCAGCCTATTCCTGTTCATCCAGGGGACATGGTGCAGAGCGATGCTGGACAGGCTCTTGGCCCTGAGCCCCTGAGCCTGGCTCAGCAGAGGGAGGAAGAAGAGCCCTCCCCACACCTCTCACCTTCCACACCCTTCTACAAGAGCAGGTGGGATCTCTGTGGGATTCTTTCAGCAAAAAACACTCGCGGCCCTACTTGGCGCCTTGCACCAAGGTGCTCGGGGGGCGCCGCTCAATTAAGACCCATTCGCAGAGGTCCTGGCTCGGTGCCTGACAAGGAGCAATTCTGCGGGCCTCTATGAGAATCCTGTGTTAGCTCCGTCAGCAGGAGGCTGGGAGCGCAGGCCCAGCAAATGGTCCCTGTCCTTAAGTGTCGCTTCACTGAAAGCACCAGCCCCAGAGGGAAAACCCGCTGGCTAGAAACAGTCACAGGGCCACGGGCTGGTCTCTACCAGGTCTGGAGCTGGGAACAGAGGCCCTCCTCTTGGTCCTGCCTCCAGTCCCTCCTCTGTTAGGAGAGGGTGGGGAACGGGAAGCTCTCAGGGCCCCCTCCCCTACTGGAGACCTCCTTTAATGCTCCTCCAGTAATAGGAGCTCCATGCCTTCCCGCATCACCCCAAACCACCTGCACCTTCCTCCGTGCTCTGCCAGAGGCACAAATCAGGAGCAGGAAAAGATAAATGCTTACCTGGAGAGCTCTGGTGCCTAGGGAAAAGACCTGGCTGGTGCACAAAACCAAGTTGCGTGTGTGTGTGTGTGCATGTGTGTTTGGGGTGGAGACGCAGTGTCCGGAAGCAGCTGCTAGAGGCTCACCCCTGTCCACTGGAGGGCTAGGCAGAGGAGCCCCCGGCTGACTGGTCCCTGTTATTTCCTTTCTGGTGCCAGGTGTGTCTGCAGGTGGGGAAGGCCCAGCTCACGCTTTACCCACGTGTGGCCACAAGCAGCGCACGGGAGATGCCCACAGCAGATCTCTGACCCCACCCGGGCGGCAGCCCCTTGGGGTGGGGGCGGTGGGAGTGGGAACTCCAGGCCGGTCCCCGCTCCTCCTGGCCCCGAAGTCCTTCCACGTGTGCAGACTGTTCCTACCACACCCAGGTCCCCATACCTTGGAGGCTGTGAGATCGGAATGGGAGTAGACGGTTTTCCTGAGGTTGCTGAACAGCCCCGCCAGGGTGGCTCGGTGGCGGGCCTGGGACAGGCGTCGACGGGCCACCCGCGGCTCGAGCTCCTGCAGCTGCGCCAGGGGCCAGGGTGTCGCTCTGCCACCGGGGTTACTGCCTTCTCCGGAGGTCGCCATGCTAAGCTGCAACGTAATATTATGCCCTGTGGGGACCCTAAAGAATGAAGGTACAGTATTAAAGAAAGAGGAAGGCAGATCGAAGGAGAAAGAAAGGGGGTACCACTCCCAAGTAACAGGTCCCAAACCAATGTATATAATCAGTAACGGATACACAAAATAGATGACACCAAATCTCTTATTTAAACTGGACTCCTAAACCACTCCTATTTGACTCAACAGTTGAAGGCGCTGCAGCTTTATTTCAGAAAGTTTCCAGAACACTGCGGGTACTCACCAGACACCTAATTGACTGGCTGTGGCCCAGGAGAGCAAGCCAGGCCCTGAGACGTCTTTCCTCACAGTCTGTGAAGAGCTGAGCATGTGGCCCACCCTTTGAGGGCTTTCCTACCATGAGGATGCACCCCTCTTTGATCTGGGTGGTGGTTACACAGGTATATATACAAAAGAAGATCCATCAAGGCATGTCCTTAGATTAATGAACCTTTTAATATATAATATATATATGTATATAAAATCTCAAAAAGAAGAAATGTACTCCTCTACCTGCGAAAGCAAAAAGTCACATGATGACAGAGAAGTGGAAGCATGCTTGCCTTGTCCTGCTTCTAGTGGGTTCTGAAGATGATCCTTATGTTGTCTCTTGTCACATCTGAGTTTACAAACCAGGAGCCCTTCCCTAGGAGAGGTGATTCTGGGACTGATACAGAACAGTTTTAACAGAAGACAGGGACCGAAGTCTCTTACCTGAGCCATGGACCCCGCCTTCGGGTGCTCACCCCCACTCAGAGGACAGCCAGCTCTTTGGACAGAGAGGCTGCATCTTCATCGCCTCTGTACCCCCAGGATGTGCTCAGTGCTGGGGTTTTGAGTGAATTAGAATGGGAGCCCTCCGCTGGGTCCACGCGGCCCTGAGTTCAGTCCGGCTGCACAGGGACAACGCATGACCTCAGCCAAGGGCCTGCCAATTTTGGTGTATGCCGGTCCCCTGGGGGCACTGGGGAAAATACACATGCCCAGGCCCCACCTCGACAACACTGGATCTGAATCTCGTGCGGGGGGGCCAGGCATCTGAGGGGCAGCCTGCTCCCCAGGTGAAGCTGACATGTTCACGGCTGGAGCCCCCACGAGGGCACGCACAGCGACACTCCTCTTCCAGCACCCCATTGGCAGCTGGGAATGAATTCCCCTCTGCAGAGGGAGTATCGGGGAGGAGACTTGAGAAACCTTTCCTGCTAAGTTCTGGGGGGAGAATTCAGCCACAGAGATAGTGAAGCCAATCATGGAGTGTGGGATTTTAAAACACCGTTTGGGGGGGGCGCCTGGGTGGCTCAGTCGGTTACGTGTCTGCCTTTGGCTCAGCTCATGATCCTGGGGTCCTGGGATCGAGCCCCGCGTCGGGCTCTCTGCTCTGGGGGGGGGCCTGCTTCTCCCTCTCCCTCTGCCTGCTGCTCCCCCTGCTTGTGCTCTCTCTCTCTGTCAACTAAATAAATAAAATATTTAAAAAATAAAATAAACACCATATAGGACAGAAAGCAAATCTCCTACCAACAATGTGCTTTTCACCAGCGGGTGTATTTGCCCTCGCCTTGCTTCTCAGAACAATGGCGGGAAGACGGTAAGTGGGTGCCGCACTGACCCTGAAGCTCCTGGAACATTTATTACCAGGAACACCACCATCAGCGTGTGGAAGACAGCCACGGCCTCTGCACAGGCCCATCCAGCCTGAGGGCTGGGTTAAAAACGCTCTTACAGCGGACACCGACACATCTTTAATAGGAGGCAAAGCGAAACAAGGAAAGTTTTGAACTGCCTAGGGAAAAATGAGAACCTTTTGAACCTAAGAACATAGGTTTTCTTTATTTGCTTAAATTAAGGAGAAATGAATGTGCCTGGGTACCAGGGAATTTAGGTCAACAAACAGAGGTAAAAACACCAGGGTTTTCCCAAGATCTAGAATTCTCTAATAGTCTCAGAATACTGATACCAAAGGCCCCTGGGCTTGTGGGGGATCTGGAGTTCTTGAGGTGCCAGTGCTCATCACTTGGCTTTCCTCCCAGGCTCCTACCCAAACACGCCCCACCCGGATTCCCGAATGTGGTTTTAGTCACGGATAAGGACGCAGCCCCCTGCCTCTCCCACAGGGGACAGACCCCCCCCCATTACTTCTGCCCCTGGGGACACCCTTCACTGCCTGTCACTGGGGGTGAGGACAGTCCCAGAGCATCCTCCCACCTGCGGGGCTGGGGCCTCTGCCTCACCCCACCTGCTGCAGGCACCCCAGGGTCAGGGGTCTGAGATATTTTCCCTCTTGAAGCAGGAGGCGGGGGCACGCCATGGGCATGATGGGGGATATTAAGCAGCTATTAAGCCTGATAAGACCTCGTGCAGTTGTAAATGTCCTACTCCTAAATGCTGCATCCTTCTCTCCACTAGGAATGCTCTGCTGTGATCTCCAGAAGGCATTCTTCTCAGGCTCTCTTTGTTGACTTGCGCTGTGGACCTGACAGGAACTGAGGCGGGTATTTTTCAGACCGAGCTTTTTGTTGCCATCATATGGGTGGGTCTGTCCTGTCTGCACCTGTGATCTGTGTCAAGGGGTGGTTCGCCCAGGATGAGTACCACAGAAGTCACAGTCTCCGTGGGGAGGGGAGGCAGGACCCTCCTCCCGCCATTTTCCTCAGGTTGGCTCTTTTGCTAGGCGAGGGAGAGCTAACTGTAAAAATGAGATTGGGAAGGGATCTTTTATTTAAAACAGGACAAAACCAAAGCAAACCTTTTCTCTTAAATGGCCTGTGCAGGTGCCAAGCCTGTTAAGGAAACTGCCCCCAGTGCTGTAAGGAATTAGAGCCGTGTAGAGAGTACAGTCTGAGACTCCATCCCTGGGGCCTGGAGATCTGCATTTTAAGAGCAGATGACCCCCCGCCCCCCATTTTCCCTTCTCTCACTACCAACAACAGAAACATTTGCTCTCCTGCCCACCACCCTCTATTCTGTGGCCCACTGCCTGCTCTTCCACCTGGGACACTGCCCCTCTCTCTGTCCCCCACCCCCAGTCTCCACCTATGGAGAGTCAACTTGTCCTTCAATTCCTAGGGTAGGCCCCATTTCCTCTAAGAAGTCGCCCAGGCCCGGCCATACCGGTTTCTAATTTAATCTTGTTTTGCCAACAAGTTAGTAAGATCCTTGGTCAGGATTCAGGTACCCAGCTGGGTACATCTAAAATGTCCCTCCCAGGGTGAGTCAGAACAGGGTAACTACAGGAAAGGATTAAGAAAAGACTCTGGGGGCAGGGAATAACAGCTCGTCTGCCCCAAACCCCAAAGACTTCTCTGGATCCTAAGCATTAGATCTCTTGAATTCAGTTCTTGGCTAGATTCACAGTGAGAGGCACACGTTTGAGAAGTTTAACCCTTTGAAGGGGACGCTGGCCAGTTGTTCCATAAGAGAGGTGGGGAGGGATTACCCGGGGCAAGCACCTGGATATCCTATTCTGACTCAGGAAACTTGCCATGTTCAGAGGCTGACTTTGAATGTCTGGGCAACTGAAATGTGTGAGGATCTAGGGATCTCAGTACAGAGCTAGCAGGTGGAGGGAAGCTAGTCCTAAGGACCCACCGTGGGTGGGATGATGCCTGATGGTGCACACGGACATGGTACCCAGCCAGTGGGATGAACTGGTGTAGGGAAAGGCAGGCTGGAGTAGGGATTGGCTCAAGACCTGGGTTGTAACTCCAGCTCTGCGTTAACCAGACATGTGACTTTGTATAAGCCAAGAAGCCTGAGGTCTTAATGTCTTTATCTGTAGAAAGGAGGGGGAAAAGCCTTTCACTAGATTATAGTTGAAACTCTTCTGCCTTTCTAAGGCCATTGTCATGATTCTACGACCATCTGGGGCAAAAGCACGCAGCACAGGCTGCTCATATCCTGGCAGAAGTGGAGCACGGAGCCCACAGCCGTGTGGGAAGCTGCATCTGAAGGAATTCTGGGCACGGCGGCCCCAGGGACAAATGATTACCGGGCACTTTTTCTGTGCAAACCCCATTCATTCTGCAGGAAACTGGGGTCAAAGACACTAGGCATTTCAAAAATGGCCATAGCTCTGATATATATTTCCTTTTAAAAGCTTTTTACTGTGTTCAAGCCTGTTCATCAGATCAGCGTGCTAAGCACACTCTTCAGTCTAACAAAATCAGAAGACACCTTCATCCATGCATTCTTCTAGAAAAGCACTGTGACGATTCATATTGTCATGCCTTATTTATTTTTTTTTATTATTTCTCATCTATAAAGCAAAGCATACTTTCATTACCAAATACTTAGGTATTAAAACACCACTTAATACCCATTTGGAGCTGACGTTTTTAAAACTCCCTAGACGAAATTTTTATTTTTATTTTTTTTAAGATTTTATTTATTTGTCTGAGAGAGAGAGAGCACGAGCAGGAAGAGCGGCAGGCAGAGGGAGAAGCAGGCTCCCCACTGAGCAAGGAGCCAGATGCAGGATTGGATCCCAGGATCCCCGGATCATGACCCGAGCTGAAGGCAGACGCCTAACCGACTGAGCCACCCAAACGTTCCTAGACGAAATTTTTAAAAAATACGACCTCACCCTCTCTGAGACTCAGGGCAATTGTCATCATTTTTAAGCACCACTCCACAAAACATTTGAGTGTGGTTCTCATCAGCCAACCCTAGGCAAACGGACACAATACACTGGATAATGTTTTGCAACCCATAGGCAGCTTCCTTTGGTTCCCTACGCTTATCAGATCATGTCAAAGAAAAATCCAGAATCATCCTCAGAACGACCTGGTTTGTCACGGTGATACAGACAAACGCTCACTGCAAGCCTGGCCCCAGGCCTAAATGTTCCCCTGCTTGGATTCACCGGCATGGATCCATCACAGGTACGCGAACAGCCACATGGCCAAGTGCGCCTTGCCGAAGATGTGCAGGCGCGGGTCCCGCGGCGTTTAGTCCACACTCACGTGCCGAGG